CCCCCCCCCCCCCTTTTTCGGGTTTCCTCCATGTACAATACGCGGCGCTCCATTCTCTCCACCCCCTACCCGGACTAACCTGGTCCGGTAAAACCCGGCGTGCTCCGTTCCGACTTGGAAGGGATGCAAGGTAAATTGGCTAACGACTACGGCGCTCACGGCTTTGAGCACACATACACCCCCTACCCGAACCTGTATGCATACGTGGCACGAGCGTATTGCCCTCCTTGTTCTCTGTTCGGTTTTGCGACCAGCAGGGATGCTGGGTGTAGAAAATTATCTGGGTACTTCGCGCGCAATCTGCAAGCAGGCAAACGACACGTCAAGCGTACTCCGCACAAGATATTACCCCCATACACAAAGATATCAAAAACACCCCTTCCTGACGGTGACCAAAAATGTGATCACAGGGGGGTGTTATCTTGCGTGAAAAAACGGCAACTCAGCAAATGCGGGCGGGCCAAAGAACACGCGGTGAAGCTCTTCCCGTGTCGCGCGTACAAACTCGCCTGCGTGCTGAGCCCAGCTCAAGAGCAACGGAAGGACTACCACCGCCGCCGCCGCCGCCGTCGCCGCCGCCGCCGCCGCCGCCGTCGCCACCGTCGTCACTACCATTGCTGCCGCCGCCGCGGCTCGGTTCGCTGGTCGGAGCGGGGGCGGCGGCGACCTCCGGCCACGCCTGCACGAGCTCTTTCAGCCGATCGGTGTTTGACTGCCGGCGCCTGGGTGGCGGTAGCTCTTCTCCTTCGCCGCTTAGAAGATTATTACTATTCTTTCCATCGCCGGGGCTTACTGCGCCGTCGTCGTTGCTACGACTCGCCGTCGGCGTCGGTGTCTCCAGCGCCGCCGCCGCCGCCCTGTCCATGTCCTGCCGGATGGAGCGGCTCACCCCGACCCCGGACATGCCCTTGATCATGCAGGCAGACCCCCGCCGCCCGCCCGACCAGTCGGCTCTTTCGAGCCCGGGGTTCCCACCGGCGGGCCTGAAATCGACGCGACTACTCCCGCCGTTCCGAGGCCGGCCCGCCGAGCCGTCGTAGATGTCATAGATCGCCCCGCTGCTGCCCTCCTCCTCCTCCGACGAGGGGTGTCCACTGTTGTTGTTGCGGCTCGAGGACCCCGAGTGTTGGGGGCTTGGGGTGGCGAGAGCGGACTCCTCTGAGCCCGCTCCCCCCCCGGACGGCGTAGTTCCCCGCAAACGGAAGGCGTCTTTCATCGCCGAGGACGGGGAGTAGTGATTTCTGCGCTCCCTCTTTTGTGTGGGCGGGGAGAGTGTCGTTCGAANGGGGGGGGGGGGGGGGGGGGGGGGGGGGGGGGGGGGGGGGGGGGGCACTGGAATAGCTGTGATGACGCACTCTGTTGGTATGGGCGTGTGGTGATGCACCGGCGTACTGTAGTCGGTAATGGCTTCTGCCACGGGGGTGGGCACCGATCCAACACCAGAGGAGATAGTTGCTGTTGGTGGCTTCTAACGGCTGGCGCGCGGTTCGGCAGGTTTTCGCTGGCCCGTACAGTATGTGACCCCGAGGTGAAATGAGAGTGGTTTCGGCAAAAATAATGATCCGCCATGATCGGTCTCACATCACGAGGAAAAGGAACTCAACAACTGCTGCATCAATCACCTTCTTACATTGTCCCAGCACACACGTGACTTATGCGGATTGTAACCGTGTTTTTTGCGACCAATATCTTATTTTTTTTTTCTGTTTTTCACGCTCGTTGAACCCAACCCCCCCCCTCCCATCTACACAGGTCGTACACCAACCTCCTGAAACTCCCCCCCACACCATATCGTTAGGATAGACAGACTAGGGAAGACATTGTTGAGCCACCTTTGGCAAAGTAGAAAGGAACGATTGGCCATCGGTGATCGGTCCTGTGGGAACAATGCTCCGTCCTCTCGAGGACGCGTGGTCAATGGTCTAACCGCTAAGGCATGCAAAACATAAGAGTACGCCCCCCCCCCCCACACCTTACCTCTCTCACGCCTCCCTGTTGGCCGTCGCCAAATCCCCCGTTCCCCACGAGAGCCGCCATGGCGCACTTCTTGCGGGGGTACTGCCGCAGCCCGAGAGGGACGACGGGGGCGTCGTTATCCCATCCCCGAGCCGCGCGGGCCACGGTGTTAGCAGACCCCGCCCCGACCACGATAGGTTTCTTCCCGGGACGGAACGGCGGTTGCATAGGGGACGCGAACGACCTGTCCCCTGGGGACGCCAAGTTTCTATCCCCTGGGGTAGGCCTCCTTCCCTCGTGATCTGGGCAAGACCCCGCCTCTGCGTCTTCGTCGGCCACGCACACCCCGTTGCGGTTGGTTACACCCTCCGAGACCCCGAGTCTCGCCGCGGCCTCCGACTTGTCCCACGCCATTACGGCCTCAAGGTAGGTGTCGATGGCCCCGACCAGGCCGGTGTACCGGACCCGCGCTGTTCCGTCCGCTAGGGTGTTGGAGGCGCCGTCGTCGATCACGACCGCCCCGCGGAGGGATGACAATCCGAAGTCGCTGTTTTTACCGTTGTCGAACAAGAGAGGAGAGAGGCGTCGAAGAGAAGAAACGATTTTGCGGGACAATCGGCGGCGTTCGGTGGAGTGATTCACAAGGGGGGGTGGCGATGGAACGGTTTTCTCCGGGAGCGGTGGCGGAACGAACGAACCAAGCATGCTTGCACGCAAATCCCCGCGTGTACCTAATTTGTTCTAAGGTGCATAGTGTGCTCAAAGAAGCTTCAAGGTCGAATGGCGGTAGTCTGTGTGGCTGCATGGTGTTTGCTTCCTTGTATCTTGCGGGTACAACAGGGCACAATCTGTTAGCAATCAGCAGGGAGTGTGCAACAACGAACGGCCGAATACGACGACACCCCACCATCATCGCCCCTACGACAACGACAACAACAACAAAAACAAAAACAACATCAACAAAAACAACAACAACAACATCAACAACAACAACAACAACACCAGCAACAACAACAACAACAACACCAGCAACAACAACATCAACAACACCACCAGCAACAACAACAAGAGTTCAAGCTGACACTTGAGAGTGATTCTGCTGGCAAGGGAAACAACGTGCGAGCGCGTGAACAAAAGCAATAGGCGACACCACCGCGAAAAAACGAAACACCAGCAACACAAACAACAGCAGCAACAGCAGCATCACCAGCACCAGCACCAGCACCAGCAACTGCAACAGCAACAAGAGGCAGTAGGAGACAACACCACCCAGCAACGCGCGGGTGATGACGATGACGGACAGAAACACTAGCACGCCATCTAGCCACGGCATGGCCACATCACACAACTACCCCCACACCCAACAAAACTCTCACCCGAGCTGCTGTAGGATCCCCTGCTCCTTGAGCACCGCCATGAACGCCTCCTCCGTCACGAAACCCGTGCCCGAGAGGTCCCTGTCCTCGCAACCGCGGACGATTCCTCTCACCCTCCGACGCACAAGCCCGAGGGAGGTTCTCACCTACAAAGAAAACAAAAAAAAAAGCATGATCTTTTAACGTCCTCTATGATTTATTTTGTGCTATTCTTGATGTTTAGGTCGTTGGATCACTTAGTACCCGTAGCGTCTCTTTCGGGGCGAAGCGTACGTGCTGTTCAAGCTGTCACTAGGGACACCGTCAACAGCAGCCGGGCGCTCTTTTCATATAGCCGATATTTTAAGGCAGGAATATTAATTTTTAGGAGTTTTTTTGGGGGGGGAGGTTGTGCAGGGTGTGCAAGTAAGAGTCACAGACGAAAAATATGGAACGTGTGCATGTTCTCCGGTGGCGCATTGCTGTGCCGTACACCCTATATTGAGCACACGGTTTCTTTCCCATGTAAGATGCTCAGGAATCGAGGAGAGCATTCGGGGTCAAATACAAACATATGGAGCAGCATCGAAATCGTTTTGACTGAGAGCGACACGCCTACTTTTTTCTCTGAAAACCAAGCTCTACTAAGAATGATACGTATGTAGCAAGGATGTGCGCCAGAGGGAGTCTATCCACCTGTTCAGGAGCGTGCGTGGAGCGCACTTCGAAGTTACAACGACCATCCCTCCCCCCCCCACTGTCTGTTTGCATGTCTGTCTGTCTGTCTGTCTGTCTGTCTGTCTGTCTGTCTGTCCCATCTCTCTCTTTTGTCTCTCTCTATCTCTCTCTCGCACAATCTCCCTCTAATATATCTCTCTATTTGTGCCTCTGTGTATTTGTGTCTTTGTCTGTCTGTCTGTCTGTCTGTCTGTCTGTCTCTGTCTCTGTCTCTGTCTCTGCCTGTCTGTCTCTCTCTCTCTCGTTTCCTCTCACCTCCCGAAGGGCCTTCGATACCGGACTGCTGTTGTCGCAGCCCCCACTGTCCACGCTACCACTGCCATCCAGCGCCCGTTGTCTGTTGCTCTCGCAGAAGCTGTCTTCAGCGAGACCGTCGCCGAGTGCGTTCCAGTCATTCAGGAGAACAAGCTTGCTCGTACGGCCTGAAAAAATGCGCGTACGTAAAGAGTGCTTAGTGGACGCAGTAGCACGGAGGAAAACGGGTTTGGTTTCTGTGCGCGATGGTATTTTTTAGCATTGTGCTCGTGGATGATGTTGTTGCTGTCGGTATATTTTGTTGACTACCACACCGTAGGTGTTGCTTGTTGATAACCGTACCGTAGGTGTGTGCTTGTGATCACCATACCGTTTCGAAGGTGAATAAACCTAACGATACATTTTCGGAGATCTGTCGGCGAGATGGATCCAACGCCGCCATGTCGACACCGCCACTCTCCTCTACTGTGGACAGCAATCGAGAGCCTTGAAACCCAGTCCAGGGTGTGTGTGTGATAGATAGACCTTCCGCCGCGAAGCCTTGCCCGGTCCTTTTTATCCCGCAATGAAAATCAACAGGAGGCAAACGAGCCCCCAGTCACGGGCTGTTTGGGGGGTGCTCGGCGGAGTTCTGATCTACGGGGCCTCCGGGGGGGGGGGGGGGGGG